GAAACGAAACGCCCATTGCCATGATGGAATGACAGCCCTGGAGACTTGTCAATACATAGAAAAGATGGTATCGATTGTACCTTACCAATTCGAGCCGGAGTCTGATGATGAAACGGTTAAAGTGCCTGATTGACAAGAGTCTGATTCGCAAGCGCGACTGAAGCAGGACGTTTCTCAGTGGTAAGTGTCAAGTGTTAACAAGTTTGTGGTAATGATAAGATGTGATAAAACAAATTTACTCTACTTTACGCTACTTCTCGACATGATGTTAACCACACGGAAATGTTACTGTTTGTGGACGGGCAAGTTGGCGACGTAGAACGTGGGTGGATATTATGCAAATGTGTTACTTTGTGACGTAGAGCTGTAACAGAATAAGATTCGAATTCCTGACGACTCGTTTAGGCGATTGCGAGCTGACTCTTTTATTTGATAGACAATAACTTTATTTATCGTGCACTGTCGGCTTCACAACTTTGCAGATAGTTTATGTTCACATACAGCTACATGACACACTGCATGAAAGGTAATATTCAAAAAGGCATAATAGGGGCACTTTAAAATCTGTAACGTCGTCTATACTTACCAACATTGATAAACTGACTGATATACTGTATATACTGATATTCTGGTGACCCTTATTTCATATACAAAAGAGACAACACAACTAGTAGTGCACTGATCACATCATAGCCAGTAAAAAGTGCAGCTATCCTGGGGTTAACGTCAAATGCTGGCCTTATACAGAAAACACATCTTATACCGTAAACGTAAACCATTTTTAGCAGAGTTTTCCTTTTCAGCTAAGCTCAGAATACCAGAGAAAGGGTTGAGAAAGGCATTTTTCCGTCGGTAGCCACACAGTCTTATCTCTTTACATGCCTTTGTTATGAAGCCAGCATGAGGGCACATAAATATACTGCTGCCAGCAGAACGACTGCAGTTTGGCTTCAACCTACTCAGTTTGACAAAACACTGAATTCACAGTTCTTCACACAGTTACCATGACTACAATCTGGTATACAAACTGTCCCAAACTTTTTCAAATGGTTTAATTAATAAACAAACAAACAAATAAATAAATAAATACATAAATAAATAAAGTAAGTAAGTAACACTTTAGTTTATGGACCTATTCCCACTATTACAGTTTTTCACATTTGCTAAGACACTAAACTTCATTCTCTGAAACAAATCCCGGACTACATATCCCATCATCCATTGTACTGATTGCACACAGCTGTATCCAATCACACATTCACTATATATCACTCAATCTGACTCCTCTCAAACTGCCGAGTATTGTATGTGCTTATCGCAAGCAGTGATAGCTACTTTACAGAGCCCTCGTTAGTTTCCCAGTCCTAGCCTAGTCTTGCCCTGTCTGTTTTCTTGGTTTCTGATCTTTGCCTGTTTTCCTGGATTTATCCCTCTAGTCTCGCCCTTTTGATTCTGTTCACCGAGCGTTGACCTACGCTAGCCCTAGGACTATTCTTGTGTCTTGCCCGCCATATACCTGTTTGCCACTGTTCGACCCTGCCTGTGTTTCTGACCTCCTCTGCTTTTAATAAAGCTTGCACATGGATCCGCACGTCTCACATCTTGTCAGCCCCGTAACACATATTACTAGCATATTGGCTGTTTAGTTTTGTAAAGCACATAGTAATGCCTTATGACCATATTTTAGATCCCTTAATCCTAAACTTAACAACTACCGTACTAACTATTAATAACCAGCAAATTAGGAGTCTATTGAGGCAAAAGTTATAGTTAATAATTAGTTAATAGTGAGAATAGTTAATTAATAGTTAGTTAATATTGAGAATTGGTCCCCAAACTAAAGTGTAAAATAAATATACAATTTTATTTAAAATAAATGTAGGGCTCATTTTCAGAAAATGGTGCCATTTGACTAATTACCAGTATAAATAACGATAACATTCATTTAATTTTTAAAGGGTTAGTTCACCCAAAAATGAAATTTAGCTTGTGTTTTACTCACCCTCGAAGCATCCTAGGTGTATATGACTTTCTTCTTTCAGACGAATCCAGTCGGAGTTATATTAAAAATTGTCCTGGCTATTCCAAGCTCTATCAGTGCAGTCAGCAGGTGTTGCAGTTGAACAGTCCACAAGTCGTCAAATAAATCTGCGCATCCATAATAAAACATGCTTCACACAGCTCCGGGGGGTGAATAAAGGCCCCCTGTAGCGAATCCATGTGTTTTGTAAGAAAAATATCCATATTTCAAACGTAATGAACACTTTTCTCTTACTTCCGGTTTCTGTCATACGTGGAAGCCGGTTTTGCACAAATTAGCCAAAAAAAAGTGGTGCGGGGTGTGTGATATATATATCGTCTGCGATAATATCGTAATTTTTTTAACGATGTGCGATTTGACATTATCAGTATTTTGCCAAAAACCAAACAAAATACCGGAAGTGAGAGAAAAGTGTTTATTACGTTTGAAATATGGATATTTTTCTTACAAAAACACATGGATTCGCTACAGGGGGCCTTTATTCACCATAACTGTGTGAAGCATGTTTTATTATGGATGCGCAGCTTTATTTGACGACTTGTGGACTGTTGAACTGCAACACCCGCTGACTGCAATGATAGAGCTTGGAATAGCCAGGACAATTTTTAATATAACTCCGACTGGATTCGTCTGAAAGAAGAAAGTCATATACACCTAGGATGCTTCGAGGGTGAGTAAAACACAAGCTAAATTTCATTTTTGGGTGAACTAACCCTTTAAGTGTTTGGTTTTCCTCAGAGTAACTGCTGTAAGTAGGTTAAAGTTAATCAGGAAATGGGCATGTTACTAGCCTGTTTACTGAAACAACTGAGGTGATGTTAAGAATTCAGAGAGAAGTTAGGAATGAACTTTTTGGAGATTCTGAAAGAAATGATAAAAATAATAGATGTACTAACTTTGTTTTATTGAAGCAAACACACTTTTTTATTTTTATATCCAATTTCTTTATGAACATTATTATATTTTAAAGTATGTATGAACATGCCTAAAACTCACTGTAGCTTTACAAACTTATATTGACTCATTTAAGTAATTGTAAAGCTGAGAAAATATATTTTTAATTTTGACATGTTTAATCTTAAGCTAAAAGATTCAACTTCCAGAGCCCTACATACTAATTGAACAATCATTAAATCTACATCCCAGAGTCATTACGCCCAGCCTGTCGGCAGCAAGGAGGAGCGCAGCGGGCCGCATGATGTCATCAGGCACCCCTCCTTCATGCACATATGTATCAGAGCTTTATGAGTTGTGGGGACTGGCACAAACTGCCTCTATGAGCCTCACAGGCAGACTGAACTCCAGCCAGCGCACAATGAAGCTCTATTCAAGGATGCGGCGCTGGCCCTTTAAGAACACCCACTACTGAGGGCTCCGAGCTGCACTGGGTCACGAGGGTGAACGGATAAATAAGGAAACACCAGAAATAAAGAATGCATAAAACACACACACACACACACACACACACACACATGCCATGCCACCTCCTCCCAAAAGCACACACTAGTGTGTCAGTGTGAAGTTTCAAATGCCTCTGCAATGGGAGCTATTTCATTCAACAGCACCATTAAAACTCGTCTAGCCGCACTGCTATACACTTAAAACAAGCCATAACTGATTATGTAGTGATGCAGTTTTATAATTATATTCGCAACCATACTTTATCCTAGTCGAGCTTTATGTTATTTTGAACACAGTTGCATGCCACTTTCTTCGAATCTATTTTTAGCTCTTAAAGTGAAGAGTATGTGGTTTATGGTTAAAAAGTGAAGACTACGTGGTTTATGGTCCAAATGTAAGGGTCTGACAGACACTGTACACACGATGTTTACCATATATGTTGTGGTATGAAACACAAACAAGCGCAAATGAACTTTCTCCGTGACTCGAGTGTGTGAATCAACAGGTGAATTATTCTTACTCAGCGCGTGGGAGCGTCTCAGTGACAACAGATCATTTTAATCCACAGTTTCTTCTTTATTTATTTTGTAACTGGCGTTATTTCTCTCGGCACAGTGCAAGCGTCGTACGAAATGAGAAGTAAGTAAAGTTAAAGTCACAGTCGTGTTAATAACTTACTATTTCAGCGGTCAGGATGGTTCCTTTCCGAGTTCGCACGTAGCTCTTGAGTTTCTCCAAACAGCCTCCGAACGGACTTCCCTCGGTTTCTGCCATTCTGTAACGTTTTCCTATGAAATAGCGCCTTCTTAGGAAGCCTAGAGCCCGTATCAGCAAACTCTCACAGACACTAGTCTGTTAAAACACAGAGTGTGTCGGACTGTAGCGCAGCAGAGCGCGAGCGTGTCGGACTGTAGCGCAGCAGCAGAGCTGGAGTGAGTGTGTCGGACTGTAGCGCAGCAGAGCGCGAGCGTGTCGGACTGTAGCGCAGCAGAGCGCGAGCGGAGTGAGTGTGTCGGACTGTAGCGCAGCAGCAGAGCTGGAGTGAGCGCGAGCGGAGTGAGTGTGCGGGGCGTTGGCTAAGGCTTTAGTGTACTTGCTCTTTCTTGAAGGAAGCGAGACGGCGTTTGAAGGCATTCCGACTCAGCAGCTGAAACACCTACAAATGTCGTCTGAGTAGGCAGCGCGCTAGGTTTTGAAACCCGGCCCGAAATAATTCTAGCTGCGAGCGGTGGAAATGTTCATTCAGCAAACTAGCAGTGCTGAGCTGTCTTTGAAAGACTGTTACATTCATAACGGGTTTTCAAAAAGGAAACCGCAGTAAAACTGCATTGGAAAACTAAAACTCTAACTTTTTTTTTTAGAGATGTTTGATAGGACTCTGCTTTAAAAAATAAAAACGTATGCTAACAAATGAATTAATTCGTTCATTTTTTTTTTTGTATATAATAAAAACATTTTGGACCTTTTTTCTTTGTGATATTACTTTCATGTTTTACTGTTTCTTTTGAGCTTTTGAGTTCTGTGTGTGTGTGCGTTTCAGTGCTATATGTATTTTTACTGGTTTAAAATAAAAATGACTTAAAAAAAAAATCAGTAATACAGTGTTTAAAAAATTTAATCAATGTTGTTGTTATTATTATTATTTGCATAATAGTAAATAGTAATGTGACTCTTTTTTCAATTACAGTACTGATCATTATTAGGGATGCATTTAATTTTGACGCAAAATTTTAAAAAAAGTCTTCAGACAAAATATGTTGATTTTACAGTGAAATATGAGCCACCCATGTTCTTGACAGGTTTCATGAGATTCACCCATGTCAATCATTCAGTATGATGCATGTCAAAGTAGCGTGGTATTACCATTTGATACCATTACTGAGCCATGGTTCTGCTACAATACGATTTTGGGACCTATAGTTATTTCTGTGAATTACTTTTTTGCTTCTTTGTTTACAGTTTATTTTTTAAAATAAGAGCAGAGGGAGAAGGAGCTGAGTTGTGCCAGATGGTTTTGAGTGGGGAAACTTACTGTGAATGCTTCCCATCTGGAATGTGTTTCTTTCTCCTGATTTACACGGAGTGAAGCTACGCTAACAGAGAGAGAGGGAGAGAGAGAGAGAGAGGGAGAGAGAGAGAGAGAG